GATCACAACTCCTGCCTTAAGGGCACATTTAAGGTATGAATAGGGTAAGCCTGTGACCTGGCTCAGGAATTAAGTGTTTATCATTACAAAAGAAAGGCCAGCCTAGCTGGGTGATCCAATCAGTCACCATTGACAGGTTTTCTGCCAGGCAGGATTTTGCTGGAAACCACCTCTTTCTGTGATGGATGGATGATGTTTCCGGGGGAGGTCTGGAGCTTGAGGGTGGGCAATTTCAAAAGTCTACATAACGGCAGGCAAACCTTTTATTCTGGGTTCTCCTCCTCCCTCCTGCATGTGGGGGGAGCACCCTCTTGCAACAGTTTTAATAAAGATCAGGCTTACTAGCTGCTTTGCTTCTCAATATTCTATGGTTGGCCTCTGTTATTTAGCATTGCCGGAAGAAAGTATCAACAACCTCAGATATGCAGATGACACAACCTTGATGGCAGAAAGTGAGGAGGAATTAAAGAACCTTTTAATGAGGGTGAAAGAGGAGAGCGCAAAATATGGTCTGAAGCTCAACATCAAAAAAACGAAGATCATGGCCACTGGTCCCATCACCTCCTGGCAAATAGAAGGGGAAGAAATGGAGGCAGTGAGAGATTTTACTTTCTTGGGCTCCATGATCACTGCAGATGGTGACAGCAGCCACGAAATTAAAAGACGCCTGCTTCTTGGGAGAAAGGCAATGACAGGCCTAGACAGCATCTTGAGAAGTAGAGACGTCACCTTGCCAACAAAGGTCCGTATAGTTAAAGCTATGGTTTTCCCAGTAGTGATGTATGGAAGTGAGAGCTGGACCATAAAGAAGGCTGATGGCCGAAGAAATTGATGCTTTTGAATTATGGTGCTGGAGAGACTCTTGAGAGTCCCATGGACTGCAAGAAGATCAAACGCATCCATTCTTAAGGAAATCAGCCCTGAGTGCTCACTGGAAGGACAGATCGTGAAGCTGAGGCTCCAAGTACTTTGGCCACCTCATGAGAAGAGAAGACTCCCTGGAAAAGACCCTGATGTTGGGAAAGATGGAGGGCCACAAGGAGAAGGGGCGACAGAGGACGAGATGGTGGGACAGTGTTTTCGAGGTTACCAGCATGAGTTTGACCAAACTGCGCGGAGGTAGTGGAGGACAGAGGTGCCTGCGTGCTCTGGTCCAGGGGGGTCACGAAGAGCGGAAACGACTAAACAACAACAAATTTTCTGCCTACCGATAGGGGAGCCCACTTAAGGACTCTACACGGGCTCTTGGATACCCCATAGGGAAAACGGGAAGGTTTTGTTAACAACACCATCATGAACCCGTAAGGCAGAGGCAGTCACCTCCAAACACTTCTCGTAGGACGTCTTCACCAAGCTGTAGGTGAAATTCCTGGCTTCGCTCGAAGTCCGGCGGGTCGATGCTCCCAGAGCCGTCCAGGGACCAAGGCGATTTCAGTCCTCAGGTCCTTGCCGCGGAAAAGATCATGAGAATGGACCGTGGAAAGAGCCCTTACCGGACTAATTTTAATGCATGATTTCTAAAAGTGAGAGGTTTGGGGGCCATTCTATACCCTTGGACCAAGGCACCCTGCTCTCTAAGCACAAATGGCTGTGGACTGCTGTGGTTGCTCCATAGTGATGTAAATGTAAAAGGATCCCTGACCATTAGTCCAGTCGTGACCGACTCTGGGGTTGCGCGCTCATCTTGCTTTATTGGCCGAGGGAGGCCGGCGTACAGCTTCCGGGTCATGTGGCCAGCTAGACTAAGCCGCTTCTGGCAAACCAGAGCAGCGCACGGAAACGCCGTTTACCTTCCCACCAGAGGGGTAACCTATTTATCTACTTGCACTTTGACGTGCTTCGAACTGCTAGGTGGGCAGGAGCTGGGACCCGGAGCAACGGAAGCTCACCCTGTCACGGGGATTCGAACCTTCTGATCGGCAAGTCCTAGGCTCTGTGGTTAACCCACAGCGCCACCCGCGTCCCTGCTCAGTAGCGAAGTGGGTGCAAAGCCAGGGTTTTCTCTTAGGGGTGGCCCCCCAAACTTGTTGAGCTTTTTTTTCAAAATTCATGGGGTAAAAATCCCCCGCAAGGCATTTACAGGGAGGGCAAGCTTTTGTTTGCGAGGCAGAACCTGCCGTTAATTAAACATTTTTAATGCTGTTTCAATACTTTTTGAGGATTTATGGGAAGCTGTGTGGCTAGCCCACCCCTTGGTGGGACTTGAACCCGTGGATGTTCAGAAAACCCTCTCCGCATAATAATGACTTTTGGTATTTGAAACCAGTTCTGTGCTGCTGAGCCCTGGGCCAAGACCATAGCTGTTCAGGAGGAGGCAGGGTAAAACAGAAGGAAACGAACATTTGAGTTATTCCTGATATTGGATTTATTAGCCTACTTGCTTAGATTTATACTGCAGAGGTGGGGATCCTGTAATTCTCTGGATGTTGTGTCCAGATCAGCCCCAAGGAACCAACAGTTTGGGAATGAAGGGAGCTTGAGTCCTGAAACATCATCTATACAGTGGTACCTCAGGTTAAGTACTTAATTTCGTTCCAGAGGTCCGTACTTAACCTGAAACTGTTCTTAACCTGAAGCACCTCTTTAGCTAATGGGGCCTTCCCGCTGCTGCCGCACCGCCGGAGCCACAATTTCTGTTCTCATCCTGAAGCAAAGTTCTTAACCCGAGGTACTATTTCTGGGTTAGCGGAGTCTGTAACCTGAAGCGTATGTAACTCGAGGTACCACTGTATATAGATGTACCTCATCTTCCTTCTACCCATCCCTGACTTACAGGATTCATCCTCCTCCTCATCCTCCAGGTAGTAGTTGTTTCCGTTGTTTCTGTTGTTGTTCTTGTTTAGATTCAAGAATTTTGCAGCCAAACTCCAGAGCTCCCATCTGTAGAATATTTTTCTTTAAAAAGGAGGAAATTAAGTATAAAGAGTGTCAGAATAGGACCCAGCGGAACAGGATTCATATCAATCAATCAACCAAACTTTATTGGCATACAGAATTCATATTCTCACCACGAAACTCATTGGATGACCTTGGGCCAGTCACCCATCTTGCAGACTGACTTGGCTTGCAGGGTTTCTGTGAGGAATGAAACTACAGGGGAGGGGACTGTTTTCTACTAGAATTCCTTGGAGGAACAGTCGGACAAAACTGTAATTTTTTTAAAAAAATAAACGTGAAGGGATTAAGGATTTTGGAGAGGGGGGAGTAATCACTGGTGACCTTGAGCCAGTTGCCACCTTTCAGCCTGGCCACTGCCCACCTCACAGGTCACTGGGGAAGATAAAATGGAGAAGGGGGAAGCATGTACACCACTTTTGATCCTTGGAGAAAAAGGAGGACTATATATCTACCACCAGTGCTTCTTTTTCTGGGGTAAGCAAGGGTACGCATACCCCTAAACAATTTTGTGAATCATTGTACTTTTGTCCATTTACTGTATTTATTTTCCCCAATTTGAACTATAAAATGGTGGTTTTCTTGAGTCAAAATGAGAGTACCCCTAAACAATTTTTCAGAAAAAAGCACTGTCTACTACTATTACTGCTATTAATAGTTTCTCCTGGAAAATGCTGGCAATCTGGAGTTCCAACCCCATAAGTGTTGGGAAATTCCTTCCTGCGTTCAAATGGCAATCGCCTCGGGGCAGGGACCTGCCCTCTTTGAAAGCACCAGACACTGATGGTAGTTGGTTTTATGAAGAAAGAGACACACAAACAAAATAACCAAACCCAGAGGCCGCATTCACACTACGTATTTAAATTAGTATAATACCACTTTAAACAGTCATGGCTTCCTCCCAAAGAATTCTGGGAGCTGAGATTTGCTAGGGGACCCCTCCATATCTCCTTCCAGAGCTACAGTTCTGAAGAGGGATTGAGTGTTAAAACACTCTGGGAACTGTAGCTCTGGGGAGGGGAATGGAAAGGGGAGTCTTCTTCCTACCAACTCCAAGCACCCTTCACAGATATAGAAAAATAAGGGTGGTTGGCTTTGCTGCCCAACTCCCCAAGGAACTGAGCCCCCCTAAGTCCATGATCGGTCAGAGATGAATGGATGAAGGCAGGATGCAGTGGAAAGCAAGGCAGATCTTTATTTTTCTGCTGCCAACAGAGTTCCCTTCACAAAAATAGAGCCCCCAGAATTATTTGTGGGGAGCTATGAATGTTTAAAGGGACGCGGGTGGCGTTGTGGGGTTAAACCACAGAGCCTAGGGCTTGCCAATCAGAAGGTCGGCGGTTCGAAATTCCCTGCCGACAGGTGAGCTCCCGTTGCTCAGTCCCTGCTCCTGCCAACCTAGCAGTTCAAAAGCACCTCAAAGTGCAAGTAGATAAATAGTACCGCTCCGGCGGGAAGGTAAACGGCGTTTCCGTGCGCTGTTCAGGTTCGCCAGAAGCGGCTCAGTCATGCTGGCCACATGACCCGGAAGCTGTACGCCGGCTCCCTTGGCCAATAAAGCGAGATGAGCGCCGCAACCCCAGAGTCGGTCACGACTGGACCTAATGGTCAGGGGTCCCTTTACCTTTACCTTTTTATGAATGTTTAAAGTGGTATCATAGTGTGTTAATTGTGTGAATTGCGGTCGGAATCTCACAGCACCCAGCCGCATGCCTCCAACAAACCCCAAATCAAATGTAAATGTTATACAGTAGTAGTAGTAGTAATAATAATAATAATAATAATAATAATAATAATAATAATGTAATCAATTAAACAAAACAAAAGTTCCATCTTTCAATCTCACCTTTGCATACAGTACTAGCAGCCAAACCAAACTTGTTGGTGTCAACGCCGCCGATTTTGTGACTGTGGGTGTCCCTTTTCCCCCGCTCTTCGCTCCTCTGGCTTAATAACTTGGTTTCGACTACAGGAAGTGCAGAAACCGATAAAAACAAGAGGGACAGTAAGGCATCTGAAGGAACAGGAGGACCACCAGATAAGAACCAGTCAAAGGCAGCAGGAGAAAGGCTGGACAAAGTCAAAGCAATGCTCACATCTGACAGTCAAAGCAAATCAGCAAGCAGACATTATTCCCATTGTAGCTGCTTAGAGCAGGGATGAGGGGAGTTTCGCATTTCATTTGGGCTTCTGGAAACCATATGCAAAACTGGGAAACCACCAGGGGCAAAATCAGATGCAAAATGGCGGCTCAAGGGACCGGGCTTGGTGCAACTTGGCCGCGTCGGGGGAGATGGTGGCTTTGGGGTTAGAATCAGACACAAAACCACAGCTCAGGGAGAAATATGCTAGAGGAAATGTCAGACACAAATGGCGGCTCAGGACACGGGGCCAGTTTCCTCCTGCACCCGATGAACCGAACACGGCTGTGGCCAATAATATCTAAATACACATCTACATCTCGTACTGATGTCTGTGAGGTTGATAAAAGCCTTCTCCTGGAAGTCAGCTGAAAGCAGCACACAAAGACCGTTCAGCTCCTCTGTGACTCGACGCCGCTGACGACGTCTGTGCTGGAGACAAGCCTGTCAAGGGAGAGAGACAAAGAAACCGAGAAGCAGAGACTTTATATTGTTATGAGTTTGCGGGCGCAAGGCAACTGTGATCTCCAGAATGAGCAAGTGTCAGAATTTAATAAATATTTGGCAGTGTTAAAACTGGGAAATATTGTATCAGACAGACATTTGGCCAGACCTGTTTGCATTGGGCTGTGTGCTAGACAGTGCTAATCCTCTGGAATCAGCATGTGTTAAGGGCTAAGTAAGCCAGGGTGGTGAGGTGCTAGCTTGGGAATGGCCCATTAAGAAGAACGCAAAGCATCAAAGATAACTGTGTGAGATGGCAAAGGGGTGGAGCCCCTTTCACTTCACAGAGAGAATCATGGAATTGCAGAGTTGGAAGGACCCAAGGGTCATCTAGTCCAACCCCCTGCGATGCAGGAATCTCAACTAAAAGCATCCATGACCTCTGCTTTAAAACCTCCAAGGATGGAGAGTCTACAACCTATCAAGTTAGACCACTGTCCAGCAGCTCTTCCTGTTCGAGGATGGATGGCGGCTAACAGATTGAGGTTGAATCCTGACAAGACAGAAGTACTGTTTTGGGGGGACAGGAGGCGGGTGAATGTGGAGGAGTCCCTGGTCCTGAATGGGGAAACTGTGCCCTTGAAGGACCAGGTGTGCAGCCTGGGAGTCATTTTGGACTCACAGCTGTCCATGGAGGCACAGGTCAATTCTGTGTCCAGGGCAGCTATCTCCCAGCTCCATCTGGTATGCAGGATGAGACCCTCCCTGCCCGCAGACTGTCTCGCCAGAGTGGTGCATAGTTGTCTCCCGCTTGGACTACTGCAATGGGCTCTACGTGGGGCTACCTTTGAAGGTAACCTGGAAACTACAACTAATCCAGAATGCAGCAGCTAGACTGGTGACTGGGAGCAGCCACAGAGACCATATAACACTGGTCTTGAAAGACCTACACTGGCTCCCAGTACGTTTCTGAGCACGTCAAAGTGTTGGTGCTGACCTTTAAAGCCCTAAACGGCCTCGGCCCAGTATACCTGAAGGAGCGTCTCCACACTGAGGTCCAGCTCTGAGGGCCTTCTGGAAGTTCCCTCACTGTGAGAAGTGAAGCTACAGGGGACCAGGCAGGCAGAGGACCTTCTCGGTAGTGGCGCCCACCCTGTGGCATGCCCTCCCATCAGATGTCAAGGAAACAAACAACTATCTGACTTTTAGAAGACATCTGAAAGCAGCCCTGTTTAGGGAAGTTTTTAGTGTTTGACCTTTTATTGTGTTTTTAATATCCTGTTGGAAGCCACCCAGAGTGGCTGGGGAAACCCAGCAAAATGGGTGGGGTATAAATAATAAAGTTGTTGTTGTTTTTGTTGTTGTTGTTGTTACTATTACTATTATTATTACTGAGTGGGGAAGAGAGCTTGAATAAGATCATTAGACCATCTAGGTTTTAAATATATATATATATATATAGAGAGAGAGAGAGAGAGAGAGAGAGAGAGGTGATTCTGAACAGTACAATTCAAGTAACATTTAAAAACAAACAGACAAACCCACGTACAAAATAAAAAGGAAATGTTGAATGGCTTAAGGTGTTTTGTCCATATAAATTGGAAGAAAAATACAAAACATGCTGGGCTGCCGACTACAATGCACAACTCTCGAGAAGAGCTGACCGAATGTTCTCATATTTCTCTTCTTTGCACTCATATCAATGTGCTGCCAGTTCAAATAAGGACAAGGAGTGCAAATCTTGAATCCATTGTTGTATGAAAGGCAGTGGCTTCTCCTTCCAGTGTTGAAGCACCATGCATTTGGCTGACTCTAGTGTGACAATGACTCAAATAGTTCATGGCCTGGTGGTAAATTTGAAAGAACAGGGATGTTATTTAGCAAAGACGCGTACATCCTTCAAATGCAGTAAGGTTTTCAGGACTAAAATAATGATTACCAAGACATTACCCCAAAAGGGGTGTATAACTCTGCTGCTCCTCTCCAAGGCGAAACTTTCCTCATCCTTGTCATGTCAGATCTTTAATTAATGTTGAGGAATTCATGAGTTTGATCACTGAAGGGGGTGGGTGGGTACGAGATAGTATGGGACCTACTGGAAGATCTTTGGGTGATTTGTAGTATATTGGGAAGTATTTCTGACTAGCAAAACAGAAAAAAAGCTACAGTTGGCCTTGTGCTGATCACTTATCGCCTCTGCCTCATTGTTCACCACTTGTAAAATATATTAAATTGGTTGCATTTGATAATGCTGACAAGTTTTAACTGCTTATATGCAGTAAAACTTGCTATGCTGACAAGTTTTAACTGCTTATCTGTAGTAGCTCAGATATAGATTTGCAGGGCTGCCTTTAGCATATGCACCACCGGGGTGCAAAGAACTGCCCAGCACCCCTAAATTTAGTTTAGCCACCCCCAAATTAACTTTTATTTTATTAACTTTTGGGGGGATGGGCGAGGTCAAAGTTGCTGACCTTTTTTTAGGGGGGCGAACATTTCACACTACGGAGCAACAGAGGAGGGGGTACAGACAGCCCTGTAGATTTGTATGTGCAGATTATCCCAGTGTATGACTAATAGACTGTACTAGGTAACTGACCCTACTCATTGAGCCACCATTTTACCTAAGACCCTGCCTCTCACTGAGCCACTATTTTCTTCCTAGCTTTAGCTGGTATATCTTGAGGATCTTGCAATATAAAAGCAGATCCCTTAAGTCAGTCGAACGAATGAACAAATATTTATTTATGGCCTTTTACATCTATGTCTCAAGGCAATTTAACAGTCGTATCATTAAAACAGCTAGAATTATGGAGGTGGAAGGCATCAAAATCTACTGTTTAACAGCCTAGGCATAGTCTAAGGTGCAGATCATCCATTCAGTAGCTGTTCAACACCATCCACAATTTAATCCAGAGTACAGGTTGTTACACTGTGAGCAGAGAGCAGATGTATTGCATAAATAGATTCTTCTGGCAAGTTAATATCACAGTCTCTCAAATCAAAGAGCTGCTGACACAACAGCTCCTTCCTTCATGTTTTGATGGTCTGCTATTACAAAGAACTGATCCCCACTTCTTTGATTCCTAATGCCCATGTAAACTTTGACAAAAAAGGGAGGAAGGGGACATTTAGGCAGAAAACGCTGGTGGAATCCAGGCCAGATTTCCTGACACAGATGGTGCTTGTCAGTTATAACAGCTGCATGTGAGAAATCTGATAGACAAGAAGGATAATGGATAAAAATATTTAGGCACTGCTGCCAGCCGTTACGCCAAAACAATATTGCCTCTTTTATAGATGAGGAAAAGGCTTTGTGTTCAGGCATTGTATCAAGCTGTTGTGTCTTTGATGCAAAAATGAGTAGCAAAAGATTCCCTCTTATCGGTCATAATTGCATATCCAAGTATTATGTGGTAACCTCCAGCGTTCTTTTTTAATACTCAGCCAAAACTTGAGTTTAAATTTGGCTCATACTAAGTGGATATCAAACACCACATGGTTCAAAGGAGGAACCTATAAGTCAGTCACAGGTTTTTCCTTCCTAGGCATCAGATACTGATTTCATGGACAGCTGATGCGAGGAGGGAGCTGCAAGTCTCAAGTTGAGACAACCCAAAATTCTCCTTGTCTTGGAAATCGAGTGATTCCAGCAAGCGAGTCCCATGCCTCTCCTCATTACCAAACTCCCAAATCTGCTGCCTCTTCTCAGTTTGGGCAATTCACTGAGGAAGATCTTCAGGCTACCTCTATGTGCCACCATACTGATGGAGTGCCACATGCCTAACCATCCCATGGAAATGCCAACCCTGAATATGAGCATCTATCTATGAGGTCTTGTGGGTTTTGACCAAATTAGTGAAGGGTCTTCAACAGAATGATAAAGCAAAAATTAAGTAGTCTCCTGCTTTTCATCTCTGGGGCACATCTTTGCACCTGATATAATTCACTGCATCCTATACATACCCATTCAGAGATAAAGTTCAGTGGATCTTACTCCTAGGTAAGCGTGAACAAGACTACAGCCCAAAGGTATGTGCAACTTTAACTCAATATTAAGACTGGATGTATCACAGACACTCCAAGCGTCCCTATTTTCCAGGGACAGTCCCAGATTTACAGAAGATGTCCTAGTTTTCGATTTGATCCCAGAATGTTCTGCTGTACCTTAGGACATCCCTATTTTCATCGGAGAACTGTTGGAGGGTATGGAGTTATGCGACCCCTGAGCCAAGGAAGCAAATAGCTACACAACCTTTAGAAGACATCTGAAGGCACCCCTGTGTAGGGAAGTTTTTTTTAAATGTTTCATTATGCTTTTATATACATTGGAAGCTGCTCAGGGTGGCTGGGGCAACACAGTCAGATGGACGGGGTATAAATAATAAAATTGTTGTTGTTGTTGTTGTTGAACAGGACACCCCTATTTTCATCAGAGAAATGTTGGAGAGTAGTATGGTATCACCAAAACAAACACACACACACCCCATAGACTCCCAAAGTTAAAATGTGGCCCAAATTCTCATTGAAAAATTGTTTTGTATACAATGATAACTTTTCCCTGTCCCTGTGTGTCATTCTGTTTTCTCGCAATGTTTTCAGCATGTCCTTATCACATACATCCACATACAATTTTAGCTCCTCATTTCTCATCCAAACTGGGAGAAAATTTCACCTTCCTATAACGAAGAAAAAGAGATTAAGTCTCTGAGGATGGATTTTCAAAATGACTAATAAAAATTGCATGTCTGGTACGGCATCAAAAAGGAGGCCAGCTTTTCAGAACGTTTGTAAGGGGATCAGACATTTGTTCCATGTAGCTTTAATGTTAAGAAATGGCCCTTTGATACCGGCAACTATGGAATACGAGCCCTCTCTGTAAGCTTTGATTTCCAAGGAGGAAGCTTGGTTTTGGATAAGCGTTTCGCCGCATGCTTTGAACTCACTGGCAGCTTTTGGCTTTTGCAGTTCAGAAGATTTGAAGCTGCAATGCAT